CCAGCAGCTGACTGGGGGATGCCTGGGGTTCTTAAGTTGAACCTGTATGTAAGTCAGAGCTGGTGTCCAGATTCAGCCGCTGTTAAAACTGATCAGTTTCAGCAGCGGCTGAATCTGGACGCCAGTTCCGACTTACATACAGATTCAACTTAAGAACAAACCTACAGTCCCTATCTTGTACGTAACCCGGGGACTGCCTGTAATTTTAAGCATTTTATCCCAACAATATTAATGGACAAGCCAAACCTAGCTACAGGCCCAAACTAGAGTTGGTTTTAAAAATGTCAGATTTTAAATACATATTTTTCACTAGAATAAAAACTTTCATTTTGCTCAAAACTTCATTTTTTAGGCTAAAACCCAACCAACTTCCCCTCCAGAAACTGAAAATAATGTTTTTAAACAAAAGGAAAAACAATGAGGACTTTTTGGGGGAAATGGAGGACACAAAACAAAACTAATAAGAAAGGTTGACCCAAATTATTTTTTAAAAACTTCAAGAAGAAAAATTAGTATTTTTCTGTCAGCTCCAGGTAAACCACTGAACTCTGTGGTTCAATTAGAGATCCAAATATTGGGATTGGTCCTGCATTGGACAGGGGGCTGGACTTGATGACCTTCTGAGGTCTCTTCCAGCTCTATGATTCTATGATTCTATAATAATATAAATTATTTCTATTATTATTTCATCCAAGACACTCTCTCTGATTTGATCACAAGATAAATAGTCTACAGTTGCTGCCCAGAAATGTTGTCTTCATCCAATGTTAACTTTGCTTTAAATCCCTTTATTCTGAATATAGCTAAGAGAATTCCTTCAAACAATGATTTATCTGCTCATTCACTTTCCTTTTTTCTGTTTATGAGTTATCCATGTAAAGATTACAATTTTTTTCTTTAGTTGGTTCTTTTAAAAATATTCTCTTAAGAACTTTCACAAATAATCCTTGTGGTCTACTGTATTTGAGAGCTTAGTTGTGAGACTTCAGTATGTAAAAGTTGTACTGTTTGCTTTTGATTGGACACATAGGTCACGTGGTAGACTGGATAACCATAACTCTTGGTATAATCAGATTTTCATTGTAAATGCGTATGTTTAGGAGTTTATTGTGTATTATCAGAATATTCCCTGTACATTCTGCCTAATAAAATCATGATATTCATGGATAGCAAATAAAAAAGGGAGAGAACAGCCAAATAGTACACTTTAAAATTAGAGAATATTCATCTACAGTGAAATTCACTCCTGCTCTTTGGGTTGTCAAGAGGGATTCAGACAATTTAATTCTGACTTAATTCCTTATAACAGTGCTACCTCCTATCTTGAGAGAAAGGTTGGACCTACGTAGTCCCTAGCTCTGCTGTTGAACCTGTTTACAGGGCTGGATTTTACTCACACTTTCTTTGCAGTATTCAGTCAGCTCTAATAATGTTCAGGACTCATGTGTGAACTGAGAGGGTTGAAGCACTGAGTTTCTTTCTCATCTATCAAAGTAGCTGCTTTCTACTTCAATGGCCCTATGCCCCACCTCAGAAATTTACAACCCTGAAACTCTCTAGGACGCTTGCTTTTCATTTCTATGTTTCTCTGCACTTCCTGAGTCCAGATGTGAATAGAAGTCATGAAATACCAAATGGCTCTTTTCACACTATTTTAAGTCCTAAACGGCCAGGAAGTATTTCGAAACCTCATGAAGCTTCCAGACCAATTTTGCAGACTCAGGAAATTTACATGAGCTGTGACTTTCTTATTAGAATGAAACTGAATCTCCAAACTTTGAATATTTGCATAAGGTAATTATAGTGCAAGATGTTTCTGCTTCTGTGAGGGTAGAGTGGTATTAACACACATACTTTACCTGTCTGCAGCATAGCCTAGAGTGAATGCTCCTGTCAGAAACCCCAGATTGAGGACAGCTTGTGTTAGATCTAGCATCCAGGCATTGGCACATACAAGGTTATACTGTGGGAACAAGTAAGAGATTTAATAAGATTTCTCTTTCCCCCATCTCCCGCCAACACATAGAATTTTTTGTATCAAAGTAGAACATTTTAACAATTGTACTGCTCCAGGACAAAAAGACCTGAGCAAAAACCTGATCACTATGTGTGCGTCTATACAGCACCCTTACCTCAAAATAAGCTACGCAATTTGCGCTACACAAATTGCATAGCTTATTTTGAGGTTATTTCGAAATAAGGTGCTATTCTGAAACATCCTTTATCCCTCATGCAATGAGGTTTACAAGGACTTTGGAATAGTGAGCCCATTATATTTCAATATAACAGGCTTGCTTTTAAGATGCGGAATAGTTATTTCGGGATACTGGAGGTATCCTGAAATAGGCTACGTCTACACAGTAGAGCTATGTGTTTGAGAAACCACCTTCAAGCTTGGTTATTCTTTATCACCTCAGCCATTGCCATCCCATGTCAAATCTCCCTTTTTAATTGAAATATAATAAGATTATAATCTGGGCTGCTCCAATATCTCTTGAATTCCATAGTATTCCTTTATCCCTATCAGTCTGGTCCAGAGACTGCACTGATGTTGCTGGCTGATTATCTCTTCATAGTGGGAGACCAGAGCAAGATATCACTTTATTGGACTTATTAAAAAAGTTAGTCTATAAGGTGCCCCAGGACTCCTCGCCGCTTTTGCAGATTCAGACTAACACGGCTACCCCTCTGATACTTGGACTTATTAGCAGCTTTTGATACTGTTGATAATTTTGCCTAATTTGTGAGATCTCAGTGTGTGGAAATAAGTCAATTGTTTTATTTGGATTCTCCCTTCTAGAGGCTCTCAGAGCAAGCACTGTTTCTTATTGATTGGTTTCAGATTAAAAGCCATCCATATTGCCATCTTTCCTATTCAATGTGTATTTGTTCAATAGCAGGCCCAGATGGCACAGAGAAATGTCTGCAGTAGTGAGTCCAGATCCCTGCATGTCTAGTCAACACACGGAAAGTGGCTCCTCCTTACCCAAAGGCTGCTATGTTTCAGGCTTTGTCCTCAGAAGGGAAGGCACTTGAACTGTGTGTTGTTTTATAGACTGAGAGCACAATAGTCTTTTCTGCTGGCAAGGAAAAGCTGCATCTGTGTTTAGCTCAGAGGCAACGCGGACCTATCACAAGGGATAACACTAACATCTCCAAACATTTTAATTTGCAAAAGTAGAGATATTTGACCTGTGAGGATGCCAAAAACAAATGTCAAACCAATTTTTGACAAGCTGAAAATGTGTTTTTGCTGTAACTTTCCCAGACCCTTCCATTCTTTATATTGTAGCAGCTGTTACATGGTGATAAAATACTGCTCCAGCACTCAATTGAAGACTTCATGGGGGAGGAGGGGAGATCAGAAAGAAATATAAAACCAAATAAAAAAAATCTATTTGTTGTGTGGATAGTAATTTGTTGGCAATTACTTTATAGGATCCTTTGAATAATTACATACCGATCTAGCTCAGTAAGTCCTGCAGCCCTTATTGGAGACAATTTTTTATTTCCAACTGGATGTCCCTTTCAACAATGGGGGCTTAGACAAAAGCAATGGTAAGAATAAACGGAGGTAAAATTCTCAGCAGTTTTGGACACTTATTAAATAGCATGCTAGAAATAGCCACAATTTCCAAGGATTAGCTGTAATAGATAAGATGAATAATATTTTACAGATGAGTTAATTGCAGTACCAAGCATTTGTAACACATATAGTATTTCAAGTTCACTCTCATAATAATGTGTATCAGAAAAAGATGCTCAAATACCACAATAGAAGGGAGCATAGAAGTATTTAGAATGAAGACTGTTCTATTTCACACAGATTTTTTAAAAACAATAGTCTGAAGATAGCCACTTAAAACCATATTGAGGCACTTAAAGAAGTGGTCTGATTTTTTTCAAGTGCTGAGCACACTATTGGTCCAGTCATCTCACTGCTGCTCAATGCAAACTATTAGGTTATCAGTGCTTTTGAAAAGGTAGGTTATCAGTACTCATTTAGGGTACATCTACACAGCAGGACTAAATGCGAAATAAGCTACCCAACTTGAGCAATTGCGTAGCTTAAGTCAAAATAGCTTATTTTAGCTTTTGGCGCTGTCTACAGCAGTAAGTCTGAGAAAGAGCACTCTTCCTCCAAGTACCCTTACTCCTCATAAAATGAGGGTTACAGGAGTCAGAGTAAGAAGTCCTCTGGCTGGACATTATTTTGACATTATGGCAAAATAACTGATTGCGTATAGATGCGGACTATGTTATTTCAGAATAACATTAGTTATTCTGAAATAACACTACAGGGTGGACCCTTAGGTGCCTGAAAATGGACTTAAGTGTGAATCTCAGCTTTTTAAAAAAGGAAGTTTCCAGGCTCTAAGGTGGTGGGGAAAAGTTTGACAACATGACTCCTAAAGTTCCAACACAGAAGAACAATTAAAACTCCCACATTTATTATGTTTAAAAATCTGAATTTTGTAGCCAAGTTGTCAACTTTTGGGAGCCAAACTCATCCTTTTTGAATGCTGACTGATATTCACTTGTGACTCCTACTTCTATAAATCTTGGCCAGAATGTATAGAACCGTTCAGTTCTTCCAGGAACTAACCTTGTTCTGCATGAAATATCTCCTTAACATCCCACTTCACATAGGTTGTTTCTTTTTCAAGCACATGGCCATTTCTGAAAGTGACATTAGAAGTACTTGTACATGCCCTGACATTTTCACTGGTCAGAAATTTCAGGAAGAATGTTTGAAACCACCCCCACAGGCAAACATAACCTGCTTGGTCTTTAAAACTAGCTGACTAGAAAATACAGGGTCAGCTGATCTCCTGTAGAGTAAACTATAGAATGGAATAGGCAAAGAAGACAGCGAGAAGAAAAGCAAGAGGGGCACCAACCTCCTCCTTCTCTCCACCTGAGCCTGTGGAAGTCACTCTACCAGTCACTGTGATATCTTGGAGCATAACTAGCTAGAGGGGTGAGATGGAGTCAGAGAGCAGTCACCCTGTGTGGTACACTCTTCCGCAAATATATTGAAAACTGCCAGAAGAATCTGGACCAATAGTCCCTGTGATTTAATGAGAATTAAGGTTGCTCAACACCATATAAGGTTAAGGTCTTAGAGGAAGAGACCAACCTAGCAAATGAACAAAGGCACTCAGTGTCCGACCTTGGTTAAGAGCTCTTCACCCAGGAGACCAACACAAAGAAGGCCTATTTAGCAATTGACAACTTTGCTTGCTCTTAAAGGAGAAAGCCCTGACAGAAGATTTCTTTCCACAAGCCCTGCAATCAGAGAAATAAAATAGGCAGAAAAAGTAAAAATTATTGTTTTATCAGAGCTAATAACGGACTATTATGAGCACAGAATTAGAAGGATTTTAAAATGAAATGCTTTAAAATAAACACATCATGAAAGGAAAATATTCTTTATCTCTGAAAGTGGCATAAGGCTTATTGCCAGTGTTAGATCCACTCTGCCAGGAGAACTAAGATTACCTGAACCCTTCAAATCAAAGCAAATTCACCTTTCACGTCTATGCATTTGTGGTGCCATGCCACTTTTAAAACAAAAAGTTGAATTTCAATTTCATTCATTTGGCTGTAAGTAAGGAACAATAAAGTCAATAGAATTGCAATGGTACAAAACCAGCATAGCTGAGATGAGAATCTGACTTATTGCCTATACATTTGATCCCATAGATGTCTAAGTATCCTGTTTTGACTCTTGAATTATTGGCTGGAACAGAATTCTGAGAGTAGATGTAGAGACCTCATTGAAAATGTGAGCCCTACTTTTCAAGCAGGGCTGGCTCTAGGTTTTTTGCCGCCCCAAGCAAAAAAAAGTTGTGTCTCCCCCCCTTTTTTGTTGGCTTTTACACATATTTGCATTTTGCAAATTTTTTTTTGTTTTCATTTTTGTCCTGGCATTTTAGCCCTATAAATAGCAAATATAATTTTATTTTTTTCCATAAAGGCAAAGGTGCTTCAAGTAAACTCCCCCTCCCCTTTCACTTGCTGCTGGGTCACAACAGCCTTTTCCGTGCCCTGTCCAGCCCCTCCCTATGGACAAGCACCCCTCACTCCTAACCCACAAGGGGAGCAGGGTGCAGGGACAGCGCAGAGCCAGAGGGCCATGGGGAACAGGGGGAGCAGGGTTCACCATGGGGAATGGGAGGCGCAGAGCTAGAGGTGTGCGGGGACCAGGGGAAGCAGGGAGGCTGGGGTGCACAGAGCCAGCGGGTGCAGGAAACAGTGTGGGGGGTACGGAGGTGGTGCAGGAAACGAGAGGCGCAGAACCAGAGGGACGCAGGGATTGGGGTCGTGGGGTGCAGGGGAGGCACGGAGAATGGGACGAGGGGAACGGGAGGGGCAGAGGGATCAGGGTCTGGAGCAGTGTGGGCGGCACAGACCCAGAGTGGTACAGGGAAAAGGGACTGCGGGGTGCAGAGGGGGCACAGAGCCAGAGGGGTATGGGGACCGGGGTGCAGGGGTGGCGCAGGGAATGGGCAGCGCAGAGCCAGAGGGGCACAGGGATCAGGGGAGCAGGGTGGGGGGTGCAGGGGAGGCATGGGGATTGGGACGTGGGGAACGGGAGGGGAAGAGGGATTGGGGTCCAGTGAGCAGGGTGCGGGGTGCAAAGGCGGCGCAGAACCAGAGAGTTGCAGGGAACAGAGAGAACAGGGGGACCAGGGTGCAGGGGAGCAGGGTGTGGGACACAGAGGCGGCGTGGGGAACAGGTGGCGCGGAGCCAGAGGGGCGCGGGGAGGGGCAGGAGCAGCGAGCCAGGCGGCCAGCAGGGAGTGGTCTCTCTCCAGCAAAGGGGGCTGGGGCCGCAGCAGGACTGGAGCCAGCGGGGCAGTGATGGAGCCTGGCCACTCCGCAGCCAGCTCCCGGGGACACGCAGCCAGAGCCGAGCTCCCGTGGCCCTTTAAAATCGGCAGGGCGGGGTCGGGCATT